AATTTCACCCTAAGGGTTGAGACCGTCGTCTCGTTTGGCGAGACCACCGTCTCGCCGTTGGCTAAGGGCAAGACCGCCATCTCGTTTGGCGAGGCGGCCATCTCGCCACTTGCCAAAGGCAAGACCGCTGTCTCATTTGGCGAGACGGTGGTCCCGACCTAACAGGTGCGAATTCCTATAAAAGGGGGGGACTTTCTCACTCTTTACACACAATTCATCAACTTTTCCTATTGTACTATTCTCAAAATACTCTCCTAGGACCCCTCTGAAGCATTTCCAGAGTTCTTAGAAAGCGTTCTAAAGTGTTGTGAGAAAAGAGAGAACATCATTGTAGAGCGTGGGGTTTACCAAAAAGCACCCTTTTCAAGAACGTATTATATAAAAGCTTGCTTCAAAGGTTTTTCCATACCTCTTTCTCTATTTTATTGTCTTTTAGAATAATATCTTTGTGTATTAGTTATTAAGGGTCATATAGTCGATAACTTAATTTTTGCAATGAATAAATAAGGGTAAAAACATAGTTTAAAGTTCTTATTTCTCTATAAAAAACGGTCCATCATAGGGAACCCGAAAGAGGAGTCGTAGGGAAGCTAATACCTTCCCTACACGTAACTAACTCTCTTACCTAACTCTGGTTGTAATGACCAAAGTTGATTTTTCTTTAAAAAACCACGACCTTCTTTTTCCTTTTCCAATGTTTTTGGTAAAAACATTAGTGGCGACTCCTCGAACCCTTTCAAAAATTTCATCCTTAGGTTCATCCCGGTTATCGGACAACCTAAAGGCGTTGAACTACACTTTTAAAAACGCAAGTCAAACAAAATCATCGTGTTGCTCCGACCGCCTCTTTTAACACAATGCATCAGAATTGAGAAATTGATTTTTACCCCAACATAATCGATTATGTTGAGGAGATAATCGATTATGGCAGTTCAAAATTCAAAAATATATTTGTTTTTAAGAATAAATGTTTTTTAATATATCCTTATTTTTATCCACGAAAATATTAATATCCAACGGCCATTTTGTAATGCTATTTTTCTATTTAATTAAGTTTTGATGGAAAATAAAAAACACAAAAATTATAGAATTCAAAAATACAATTTACATTCAATTAGTTTTGAGAAAAGAATTCTGAGCAAGACAACAGAGATATTTTACATGTTTTGAGAAAACCCTCTTCTCCATTGCCACAGAGATATTTTACTAAAACCCTCTTCTACATTGCCTACTGTGCTTTCATTGTTAATCACACTTGTTCTTGGAGGTTGGCATCCTACAGGCTTCTACAATTTGTTGTCTCCATTACTCAGGTGTGACTATTCTTATTTTATTACCTTCATCCTTTGTGGGCTTAAGTGGTTGATTGTTAAATTCCTTGTTTAGGGTTTAAGTAGTCATTGTCATTCTGTTGTATTTTTTTTAGGGTTTCATGTGTGGAAACTTTTCATCCTTAGTGGGATTCTAGGGAGGTGTTCATCCTTAGTGGGATTCTAAGGAGGTGTTTTCATCCTTTGATTTGTTCAGAGGAGGTGTTCATCCCTAGTGAGATTCTAGGAAGGTGTTCATCCTTAGTGAGTTTTTAAGGAGGTGATTGTTTTTTGAATTATTTTGTTTTTTGCTGAGTTAATTGTAATTTGTGAACTGAATTTAAAAGATAGTGAATTATGGTCACTCTTGTGTTAAGAGTTGACTGGGAACTGGATGTAGGGTTGGCTATACTCGAACCAGTATAAATCACTGTGTGCTCTTCTATTTCCCTTTATCTCTTTTTCACTGCATTACTCTCCTTACACCCCTTATTTTTATCTCTATCTTGTTGATATTTTATCTCTTTTATTATATCATTTCCGCTTTATCTTTGTTCAATTTGATAATTAAAATTGAATTAATAAATATTGGACATCTTAAAATAAATTTTTAATTTGTGCATCTATTCACCCCCCCCCCCCCCACTCTAGATGTCATTTTTCTAACACATTTATTGTATTGATCACCCTCTTTGTTCATTGTTGGGCTCTCTTAGCTGACGGCCCTACCCGTTACTGGTTAGTTCTCGATGATACTCGTCTCTTGGCCTCTCTTGGTCTTATCGGTAGATGACGTTTTTCTTTTTCCCTACCAATGTTCCTTCCTTCTACGATTTCAACCCTCACCTGGTTCTAGAACTCGTTTAGCTCTTCTACTTACATGAACTTGGTTTCTTGGTTTCTCAACTCGTCTAGGTTTGTTATGGAATTTTTGCAGAGATTGTTCGAAAATGACCCTGGCCTCAAGGCTATAACCATGTGATGGATTGCCATTTCTGGGTTAAGATTTCATATATTGAGTTCTACCTTTCCGAACCTTTCCATGAAGGCCCATAGTAACTCGCCTTTATCTTGGCAGATATTTATGAGCGCTATGGATGTAAGGTGATGGGGACGAGTGGTTGCAAACTATGTGCCAAACTTCGCTACCAGTTAATCAGTCAATACTATTAAGGGGAAGGCATGTGAACCATCTTAGGGTCGACCCCATGAGAGAGGTGGGAAATACCTGGCAAAAGAGGACATCTTCCGTGGTATATAGGCCAACTTGTGTTACGTACACGTCAATGTGCTTATATAGGTCGGTCGACCCATCATATCTTTCGATGGTAAGGTTCTTCCATGTGGCAGGTAGATGCTGGCAACGAATGGGTGTCTTCATAAACCCCCCCCCCCCCCAGCTGCGATGAATGGTGCATGGACGTGAGTCGCTACCCTAAGGTTACTATTGGCTTCCCCTTCCTAAACCTCTATGCTGATGGAGTGTCTGATATCTTTCTCGGGTTCGCTTCTATGACGAGAAGTTCCTTCCTGCTCATTTAACTTTTGGCTTATGCATACGTTTTCCTCCCTTAGGGTGACTAGTTGCTTCGCCTTTTAAAGTTTTCCAATTCATTTCTCAATTCTACTATTAAGGAAGCTTCATTCATGTGATTCTTTTCTCCTATTGGTGGTCTCTCGTTGTTTGTCATGTTCCTTGTTATCACCATATTCTTTTGTGACTCCCCTCGACCCTATAATGGGCGTTAAATGTTCTTGCAGAGTTGAGAACCTCTTGTCTTCGTGCTCCGGATGACATGTTCATGAAACATTGTTCCTTGATGTATTATGTTTATGGGGTGTAACTAGTATCTCTGCCAAAGACAATCTGACACTCAAGTCAATAAAAAAAATAAGCAACTAGATGATAGTTAATGTATATATGCTTCCCTTAAAAGTGTCACCTATTTATACTACCTTTATGGGCTTTGAGAAAATTCAGCCTTGCTGTTTTTGATCGTGTGGCCACAATGTGAGGCTATCAGTGGGACTACAATACAAAGATTATCCACGTGACTACAATACAGAAGTTGTTCACGTGGCTACAATGCAGAAACTTTTTCGTATGACTACAGTGCAAAGGCAACTCGCGTGGCTATAATGCCGTGGGATCATCTCTACATCTACCATATAATTATATATTAATTTTATCTATAACAAATAATTAAGATATATGACAATTTATTCAAACAAATTCAAAATAATTAAGACATCAAAAAACAATTTTATATCCAACGAAAAGAATTTAAAACTATTCTTTTAATCAAATTACACATAATTAAAAATTAATCGTGTCTCCCATTATTTTATAATGTGCATTTATTTTTAAATTTAATGATTATTAAATATATTTATTTATATTTTTATATTTTTATAATTTTATTTTTTTTATTTTTATATATTGATTTATTAATAATATATTATTTGATCCAAAATCCATAATTATAATTCATGAAAAAATATTAAAATTTAAAAAAAAATCTTAGTTCCACACACTTAACCGTAACAAATAATAATAATTATTTAATATTATTCGTTTATAAAACTTGTATGATTAATTTATTAATATTTTTTTTATAAACTTTCATGTATTATATTAACAATAAATTTGATTTTATTATTATTTTTATTAGCATTACCAAACATGCAACCATTATATATTATTACTTATTCAAAAATAATAATTACATATTAAAATAAGAACAATCTTAATTCAAGGACGGGCACAAAATTCAACAAATATTATTGATATTAAATTTAATATTCATATTTAATATATTTTATAAAAAATATTTATCATATTTATACTTCAAATATTAATATTATAATATATATTTGACATACTTTTCCTTTATGTTATACTTATTTTATTAACATATTAGGTGCAGATTTTGCATCTAATTTTTAATATAAACTGGCAAAAAAAACAAAATTCCTATGAATTTTTATACAAATTCAAATTCATAGCTAAATCCTTCGTGAATAATTAATTCATGTGAATTTTAAAATTTGCAAGAGCAACAAGTTTTTCTGCAAAATTTAAATTCACAAGAAATGTTTCTGCAAATTTAAAATCCTAGGAGACTTTTTTATGTAGAATTAAAATCCGCAGGAGACTTTTTCTACAAATTTAAGATTTTATGCGGATTTAAAAAAATTAAAAATATTTATACCGATTTATTATTTATTTACTATAGAATTTTCTAATATTAGTAATTTTTATTTAATTATGAGATATTAAATAATTATAAATCATATTATATATGATATATACATATTGTATAATATATATACATATATGATATATTTTTATAATAAAATTATTTAATTATAATATTTTATTTATTATTAATTACATATCATATATTTAGATAATTTTTCTTCTTATTCATGTAACAGTTATATGTTAGTTTTGTAACTATTTTTTTCTATCAACAGTCTCTTTTTTATTATGCAGAGTTTTATATAAACTCTGTTTGTAGACATCCCTCTTAATTTCAATAAAATAAAATTTTTTAGACAATCTCATAACTAATATGGTATCAAATGGTTCAATCTCTTTCTTCTTTCTATAATCATTGAACTTGATCGATGGAACCCTACCAAAAGCTCAGTCACATAAAAAAAATGTTGGACGTTAATATAGTACACCCCAAAAAAGTAACCCTCCGACGCCTCTTACGTGACAATTTTTTAAACTTTCAACAGTGGAATTGAAAAGGAAAAATTATTGAAGTAAAAATTAGACATGTCCATCTTCTCCATTAGTGGTCTCTCATGTCATGTTGTTCGGATTTCCTTTCTTAGGATACAATAGCTTCCGTTGCTTCTTCATTGACGCTCGTCCTTCAATTTTGATTCGCTTAATTTTATTTTGTTTCTCAGTCGGTTTCACTCACCCTGTTTTCATTGTGCTTGTGTCCATTCTGTCTCCTTTCACATATAGCCTTTGATATGCTTTCTTTTTTTCATTTCGACAATATGGGTGTCTTAATGGTGGGGGTAAGTATAGTGACTATTTTGGTGGGTTTAACAAAACATATTTTCTTTTCCATTTGGTTGTAGTGTCTTGACAATTGATTAGTTGGTTGTGGGGAAGAACGTCTTTGAAAGCATTGAGACCCATTCAACAACACTTTGTATGTTGTCTTGTTGTCATATAGTTTGAGTGTTTACTGTGGTTGCTGGTGGTGAAATATGTTTCATATGATTTGTTGTCCTCTTTTTAGTGTTTTAGCTTATTGGATGTAGGTTGTTTCATAAAATGTGTGGTTATATTGGTGATGATAATCGTGTGAACATGTTATAACCAGGTATATGGCTAGTCATAGACGTACAAAGACTCGTAAAAAGGTGTGTATACATTCATTCCTTAATTGACTTCTTTATAATCAATTTCAATATTAACACAATTTCTTGCATTCTTTTCAAGAACATGCAATTAATCTTCGATTAATTGCAAATGTACAAGAGCTTTTGATGCGAAAGAATACTGAATTAGAACAACGGGTGGGGATACTAGACGAAAAGTTTAAAGTGTTAAAGGATGTAATCAATGTCCCCGAAAATATAACAAGTGAGGTTGATATGGACCCTTCTACAAATAGGAGATTGAAGCAAATCTTTAGACATTTGTTGTGTTAAGAGATGACTTACTAATAATGAGAATGAGTAAGTATTTATTATTTATGACATATTTTTTTATTAAAATGTGGGTTTAATGATAGATTATATTATTAATTGTTTGTTGTAGCATCTTGGTTAGTACGTTCGGTGCTTACCTTAGACTTCAACACAACACTCATATCTCCTAAACCATTATAAAAGCATGATTTGACTATGTCTATGATGAGGGGCGCTCGTTCGAAATTTTTTCTACAATTCAATTGGGTTCCATATGACTCATTTGTATCTTCAATGAACCTTGCAGAAGAACTTATTAGAAGATGTAAAAGCATTTAGAATTTGTATAAATTAAATCGTCTTTGGAAAATTCTCAAAAATGTTTTAATCGATTAATTTCAAATTTACATAAGTTAAAACAACTTAAACAGGTTTTGGTTCTAACTATTTTCAGTTACTATAATCAATTAAAAGACGATTTAATCGATGAAAAGCAATAACTTTTTCTCCAATTAATCCTATATAAACAAATGTGATTGTTCAAATTAGATATACTTTTGAGAATATATTCTAGTTATCATTTGTGAAATCCTCTTAAGTAAAAAGAACATCTTATTTGTTCAAAATCTTTGAGAAAAATCCTGATTGAGGCATTTTTTATCTTTAGCTTTGGAGTTTCATAACTTGAGTTGAAATTTTGTGCAGTAGTCTTGTTTTGTTTTTTATAATCTAATTTTCTATAATTTTGCAATTATTCTTGAAGTGTCTAGAAGTCTTGGACATTGCTTGTGCAACTGGAAGTAGTGGTTGCGTGTTCAAGATTTGGTTATAGTTCTTGGTATAGATAGATAGTTCTCTCAATTGTATTTTTTGTAATCAAGATAACATTGATTAGTGGAACTCAACTGGAAATTAGTTGAGAACTGGATGTAGCCTTGTAGATTGGGTGAACCAATATAAAAATCCTGGTATTATTATATCTTTTCTTTCTCACCTGCCTTTGTTTTGTATACTCTGTTAATTGAATTTTATAAAGATTGATTCTTTGATTGATAATCTGCAAAAAATGTTTTTAAATTTTTAAAAGATCAATTCAACCCCCTTCTTGATCTCACTCTATATGTCTAACAATTCGTCCCAGGAAAGACAACCTCAATTGCATTTTTCATTGCCATGCATTGATTTGTCGTAATTCCTTACGGACACCTATAAGACATGCACTGCATCCATGTCTCAAACAACCAAACAAATGACGCATGGTTTTTTGTAGATAAAAGGTCACATCCAAGTAATATTGACTTCCCATGATGATTGACACCAACAAAAGGGGCAAAGGGCATGCCTTATTTGTTAGTCAAATATGTCATGTCAAATGACACAACATCACTGAAGTACTCACAAGCTACCCAAATTTTAGCATCAACCCAAAAACCATTCTTAAGACAAAAGTCATCATCCAAATCAATCTCAAAATAAAAGTCTTTATTAAAGTCTCTTATACGACAAAAATATGATAATAATATTTTTCCATCACCATCTTTTCCAAGATATTTTCTTTGGATACCAATGTAATTTTGGACATCACGTTCAACAAATGGAAGATTGTCATAACCTCCTACAACATAAACAAGCGATCGAAAGCTCTTATTCAACCTGACTCCAAAACTTTATCATTAATTTGGAGTCTTCTTTTCACCTGTAGGTTCAACTTTCTATTTCCACTAAATAACCGAGATTTGGAGGGGCTAAGGGAATGAGAATGGTCATCACAAATCTCATTATGTACCACAAACCATCTTTAAAACCAACGGTAATTTTCGCCTGACAAACAATTTTTTTGGAAGGATTTGTTTTCAGTTCAATAAGATGTGTTAGGTTAAAACTACCCTCCCGTGCACATGCCAAAATCAAATACTTTTTTTCTTGATGTGGTCCTCTTTTAGAATTTCTTACTTTGATACCAAAACCTCTTTTTATACCATATTGCCTATAAAAAGTCTTGACAACTTCCTTACTTTTGAACGACATTCCCACGTTCGGGACTGTATCATCTACACCATCTTTTTGCATGGGTTCGGTAGGACTTATTGACGTTTGTTTAGAATCAAGCGTGACATAGTTGTCTGCACTTTTAGGGACTGCATTGTCAACTTCAATGACATTATCTCCATCTTCTTCCATTACTCTCCTATAACTTAACCTAACGTTGTTGCGCGATGCTTAAAACTGACTCAGCTGAGAGTTACACGCATGCACACGCTAGTATCATGTTCAATAAACAATCATATAGTGTACTACTTCACTGAAACATTAAAATAGGAAAATACTGAAGTAAACTTGAGAGTAATGCACTTAAATATACAATGAATGACAAGGAAATAATTGAACACTTACTTCAAACCATCACGAGGTCTAGAGTATGTGGGATATGGCAAGACGAAACATCTAGAGTATGTGGGATATGGCAAGACGAAACATTGCCTGTAGAGCATCTGTGGAAGGGAAACACTTAGAAAAAGTATCCTCCCACAATATATAAAGCCTATGACAAACAGTACTTCTACTTATGACATATGTGCTATGACGTGTAAAAAAAGTAAGTGAGACAAAAACTAATCGACACATAAACCACAACTGAGCAAAATACTATAGCTATAATAGTGGAGCTTAAAGGAAACATACGTTGAGCATTATAAAATTCGCACAACGTTACATAAACAATGCCTAACGACAGTAAAATGTACATAGATATTCCAATGTAAATTGTTAAGCGGTAACAAAACCGATACGTGACATAAACGAATGTTGCATAACACTTGGTCACTTAAATAAATTTGTTAACAAATAACTACCTTTTTGAACTGACTTAACCAGTTTGTAAAATAGTGTTCCTTAACACCCTAGTGCTACCAATGATAGCTATGTCGCACCTCGATGTCCCAAACAAGGGTGTGGGAGGGTTTTGTCACTGCATGGCAAGCATTCTATGACAAATCCTTGGTCCAAGCATGCACACAGACTTGCTGACTTAACCAAATTTGTTAACATATAACTACCTTTTCGAACTGACTTCATTGATTTGTAAAACAATGCTCCTTATCACCCTGGTGCTACCAATGATAGACAGTTATGTGGTGCCTCAATATCCTAAACAAGAATGTGGGAGGGTTCTATGACTGCATGGTAAACATACCATGACAACTCCTTGCTCCAAACATGTATCTTGCATAGACTTGGTCACATAACTAAATTTGTTAACAAATAACTACCTTTTTGAACTGACTTAACCAGTTTGTAAAATAGTGCTCCTCATCACTCTGGTGCTACCAATGATAGTTATGTCGCGCCTCGATGTCCCAAACAAGGGTGTGGGAGGGTTGTGTGATTGTATGACATGCATTACATCACAACTCCTTGGTCCAAACATCCTTCTTGCACAAACTTGTTGACTTAACCAAATTTGTTAATAAATAACTGCCTTTTTAAATTGACTTAACCAGTTTGTAAAATAGTGCTCTTCATCACCATAGTACTACCAATGATAGCTATGTGGTGCCTTGATGTCCCAAACAAGGGTGTGGGAGGGTTTTGCGACTGCATGACATGCATTCCATCATAACTAGTTGGTCCAAACTTCCTTCTTGCACAAACTTGTTGACTTAACCAAATTTATTAACAAATAACTGTCTTTTTGAACTGACTAAACCAATTTGTAAAACAATGCTCTCATTACCTTGGTGTTACCATTGACAGCTATGTGGCACCTCGACATCACAAACAAGGGTGTGGGAGTGTTTTGTTACTGCATGGCAAGCACTCCATGACAACTCCTTGGTCAAAACATGCATCTTCTATAAACTTGCTGACTTAATCAAATTTTTTAACAAATTACTGCCTTTTTGAACTGACCAGTTTGTAAAACAGTGCTCCTCATCACCCTAGTGCTACCAATGACAATTATGTGGCGCCTCAATGTCCCGAAGAAGGGTGTGGGAGGGTCCTATCACTGCATGGCAAGCATTCCATGATAACTCCTTGGTCCAAACATAAATCTTGCAAAGACTTGTTGACTTAACTAAATTTGTTAACAAATAACTACTTTTTTTAACTTACTTAACCAATTTGTAAAACAATTCTCCTCATTACCCTGGTGTTACCATTGACAACTATGTGGTGCCTAGATGTCCCAAACAAGGGTGTGAGAGGGTTCTATAATTGCATGGCAAGCAATGCATGACAACTCCTTCGTCCAAACATGCATCTTAGACAAACTTGTTGACTTAACCAAATTTGTTAACAAATAATTGCCTTTTTGAACTAACTTAACCAGTTTGTATAATAGTGCTCATCATCACCTTGGTGTTGCCAATGACAACTATGTGGCACCTCGATGTCCCAAACAAGGGTGTGGGAGGGTTCTGGCACTACATGCCAAGTATTCCATGACAACTACTTGGTTCAAACATGCATCTTACACAAACTTGCAAACTTAACAAAATTTTTTAACAAATAACTACATTTTTTAATTGACTTAACCAATTTGTAAAATAGTACTCCTTATCACCCTGGTGCTACCAATGATAGCTATATGGTGCCTTGATGTCCCAAACAAGGGTGTGGGAGGGTTTTGTCATTGCATGACAAACATTCCATAACAACTCCTTGGTCCAAATATGCATCTTGCATAAATTTGTTGACTTAACCAAATTTGTTAATAAATAATTGTATTTTTGAACTGACTTAACCAGTTTGTAAAACAATGCTCCTCATCACTCTGGTGCTACCAATGATAGTTATGTGGTACCTTGATGTCCCAAACAAGGGTGTGGAAGGGTTTTGTGACTGCATGACAAGCATTCCATGACAACTCCTTTGTCCAAACATCCTTCTTGTACAAACTTGTTGACTTAACCAATTTTCTAACAAATAACTGCCTTTTTGAATTGACTTAACCAGTTTGTAAAATAATGCTTCTCATCATCCCAGTGCTATCAATGACAACTATGTGGTGTCACAATGTCCCAAACAAGGGTGTAGGAGGGTCTTGTCACTGGTCTCAAGATGCTGATAAGTGTGAAATATTCATGTTTTTATCTCATGTAATTATTAATGAATCAATAGTAAAAAATCTTAGTAGTATCTAATTATTCACATTTTGTGTGTTGAAGAGTAAATAGTCAAACTTATGTAATTATGTGTCAAAATGTATGTAATAATTAGGAGAGAGCAACATTAGGCTTAAAGCGTTGAGCGGATTCTCATTCGCTAAGTGAAAATCGGATAGAGATGACCATTTCCAAGGAAAAAAATGCCCAACAGTTCCGATTTCGCTAAGCGGATTGACGCTAGAGAGCAAACCCTTCTGGAAGGGTAAAAGTGCTCAAGAAATAGGAATTTGTTGAGCATATGGAAGCTTTCAGGACAAAGAAACGACTTAGCCTTTCATACTAGCTATTCTCTGCAACTAAACCGCTCAACAGTCTTGTAGAGGCTAAGCGGAAACACTATTGGTTTATTCTCTCCAAGTTTCTTACATTATTTAGAACAACAATTTTCTTCTAGGGGTTGACCACTTGCACATTCCTTTATGAACTAGTTTTCTTCATCTTTTTATTAACGACTTAGTGAATTTGCAAGGGTTGGATGAAAACAAGTTCTTTTGTATATGGAACTTAGTTTTCTACACCAACCTTTTTACACAAAAGCTACAACAAGAAACAAGTCTCATGATACAATCATCATTATACCATGTATTTCTATTAATGTTTTGACAACATTAACATGTAAAATAATATCAACCAACAACATAGTGAAAAATATGTCAACTACATAAATCACTAAATCCTATACAATTCACAACATCACATCATAATTAAACATCCAAAATGAACATTAAATACATAAATTCCAACCACACAAAACCTACATCAACTAAATGTTTGCATGATAATACTTTACCATGTCATGGTAATGTACTCTCCAACAATGACAAAGTGGTTACATCAGTAACTACTTCTAAATGTACATCAAAATAACTACATCAAATAACTTGTCTACATGTACTTTGTCTAGTGTTATGATACTTAACCCATGGTAATTTTGTCACTAAACTATGAACACATTTCCTAGGCTTCTGTTTCATCCAACTGTACATTTAGAAGCTTTTCCATCCACTACTTTAGGATCTTCATCCACATTATCAATGTCTTCATTTACTGTGTGTTCCTTTTCAGTCAAGACTTCAAAATCAAATTTTTCCTTGTACCCATTATTACGAACCATTTGTTACTATTTCAAACACATCTTTATCTCTAATAATTGCAGCTCAAGTTCTGTAATCCTTTCCTCCAATACTCTGTTCTTCTTAAGAAACATTTTATTATCACCAACAATCTGCTTGATATCAATTTCAAGTTTTGAAAAAGACAAAACTGTTATTTTCTTTTGCAAATGCATCCCTAACAAAATCATGTGTAACTTCTGCATTTGTCATACATAAATTCTCCACAAACTATCATTCATATGGAAACATATATTCATTACATAATACACAATGACTAGCTAGAAATAATTATTACACCAATTATATACGTATCAAATTCTTGTTAAAAGAAGCTTATATAACTTTTTTTTCACTGAAACATCCTTCGACTTCAAATATTGAGGGAATACATTTTTGTTTTCTACACCTTTTGATGGAAAATTGACTACATGCACAAAGACCCAAACCTGAAATTTCAATTTATTGACCAAAGTAATGAAATATATAAAATTAACTTAATAATAACATTGTATTCAAAAGTTAATAACGTACCTACAATACTAAACACACATCCGACAATGTGCAACTGTGATGAATTTGTTTCTTCTAACAAAGAACAAGATGTCTAACAAAGACTTTGAAACAAGTTCTCATACACATCAATACCCCAATTATATTGGTCAATGACTTCTGTTAGAATCACACAGTGGAATGTTTGCGTGGTCGGACAAAAACCAAGAGGGGGGGTGAATTGGTTTCTTAACAAAAATTAGGTTTTAAAAATTTTTCCCAAATTTTATCGATTAAAATACTGTGTAAACGTAAATAAGAAAATGATAGAGTCTTACACAGGAGATTTATACTGGTTCAGATCAAAAGACCCTACGTCCAGTTATTAATCACTCAAACAGAGGATTAA